GTTGGTGTTTTTTTCTTTTTTTTTTTTTTTAAGAATTATTTTATTTAACTTTATTTATTTATTTATTTGTTTATTTTAATTTGACCAGAGAGGGACAGAGAGAGAGAGAGAGAGAGAGAGAGAGAGAGAGAGAGAGAGAGAGAGAGCAAACTGCCAGGTGTTCCAGGACTCGAACCGCAGTCGGCCATGTGGGAATCCAGCACCCTTAACCACCACGCCACCTGCCAGCCCCGAGTTGGTGGTTTTCTATAGGTAACATGTCATTATTCCCCAACTGCTTTCAAAACTTTTTGTTTTCAGTTTTCAGAAGTTTAATTATGGGGTGACTTGATGCATTTTTTTTTTTTGAGAGATTTTCACTGTAGGGTGCGTGCGCTCGCCAGACAGACAGAGAGAGACATAGAGACAGAAAGCGAGAAATCACCCCCCAGGGGGGATGGTCACGCCGCAATCCCTTCTCCTCCATTCTCCTCTCGGGATCTTGGGCATGCACGCACACGCGCCTGGCGTGAGTTTTAAGCCACCGGGTCCGGGACACGAACCGCGGTCGACTACGTGGGAGTCCAGCGACATAGCCATTACACTAACTGCTGGTTCCCTTGATGCATATTTTTCTCAATTTATCCTTTTTGGAGTTTTCTCAGCTTCTTGGGTCTATAGGTTTTTGTAGTTTACCAATTTTAGGAAGTATTTTTGGCCATAATTTTTTCTACTACTCTTTTAGCCCTACTCTGTTTCTCTGCTCCTTCTGGAACTCTAATAATACAAATATTTAATCTTTTAATACTGTCCTACAGATTTCTGAGGTCCTGCTTACATTTTTATCTGTTTTCTCCCAGTTGCTCACATTGGGTAAAGTAGACTTATCAGTCCTCAAGTTCACTGACTTATCCTCTTTTTATCTCCTGTCTGCTCTTTTTGTTGTTGTGATTCAGTGATTCAGATGACTCAGTTTTTTCATTTGTGCTACTGAATTTTTCAGTTTTATACTATCCATGTAGTTTTTTAAAAAATTACTTTTTTAAAACTGAAATTTGCTGCTGTTTAATTTGTTTCAAGACAATTTTTAATAGCTCATGAAAATATTTTTGTGATGGGTGCTTTAAAATACCAAACCTGATTACTCTAACATTTGCTTTATCTTGATATTGGCATCAATAAATAGCTTTTCTTATTCTAGTCATTGTTCTCCCCCTGCTTCTTTGTATGATGGATAATTTTAATTATATCCTGGGCATTTTGGCTACTATGTTATGAAATTCTGGGCTTTCTGTAAAAAATCTTTTTTTTTTTTTTTTTTCAAGCAGTCATAGTCCTTAGATTCAACACCCAGGTTTCTCCTTTGTAGGTTTTGGCTCCAAGGATAGCTAATTTTCTTAATGTTTGTGGTCCATTTGGTCTGATTTATCTAGTACTGCTGAGGATTTCACTAGTTCCTGGTGCTGCAGGAACTCTCATGCTGGCCTACACCAGACTCCTTAGCTCCCAACCTCCCCTCACCCCCATGGGAGGCGAAGGAGGGCCATTTCCCTTGTTGCTTTTTAATAGTGGATGCCCCAACAAATTCTCCATGTTGGTGTTGCTGAATTAGCCTGGAGCTGTTAGTAGGACTCCTGGTCCATTTGGAGAGGACTGTACCCAGCAGGGCAACCTTCTGCAGCTTGGTTATTGGTTGGTAAATGCATAGTCTGGGTTAACTTTTCTGCTGGGTGAAGGTTGTAAGACTTTCTTCTGCAATGTTATTCCTTCTTCTATCCTGGAGTCCTTGACTACTTTGCCTTCTTCTTCCCATCTTTCAGAGTTCTCTCTGATGGTTTTTTATATAGTTCCCAGTGTGTGTAAATGAGACTTAGAGGATGGGAGCAGCAAGGAACTCCACCTTCTCTGGAAAGCCATTTTCTAGGTTCCTGTGACTCTCGCCTTTGGCAGATGCCTCACTATTTGGTAGAATGAGGTACCTCAGGCTCGTGGTGTCTGTTTTCTGCCTCAGCCTGGAACCAGCCACTTGGCCAGGTTTCTTTTCAAAGCAAGTAGCATCTTAAGATCACACTGTTGGTGCTGGAGAGACTCTTCAGTACCACTTATTATTTTCCAAGCTCTTCAGTAGACTCAGTTAACATTGTGCTTGTGGATGAGGGTTTTCAACAGCTTAGTAGTGATTTGTTACTTTAAAAAAAAATACACTTTGGGACCAGTAGATGGCATAATGGTTACATTGCTGAACTTGCACATAGTGGACCATGATTTGAGTCCTGGACCTAATGGCTTAAAACTCACACTGGGCACATTGAGTGTGTGCCCAAAATCCCAAGAAAAGAATGGAGGAGAAGGAATTGTGGCATTGCCCTCCCCCTGGGGGGTGATTTTTGGTTTCTGTATCTCTCTGTGAACACAGGCTCCCTATAGCAAAAATCTCTCTCTCTAAAAAGAAAAAATATATTCCACTGATATTTTAAGATCAAAGATCACAGAGCTGCACAGATGACTTTTTTTTAAAACTTAAAATAATTTAGAATACATCTTTTAAATTGGTTGCATTAAGAACATCATCTGACCTGTATGCAGTTTTTGACCAACACAGCAGAAATTTACTGATCATTTACTAGGTGCAGGCCTGGTGCTAAGACATTGGGATATTTGTTTATCTTAATACTTACAATACTTTCTAGCATTATTTTTCTTGAAGGTTGAAACTGAGACTTCAAGGTTTTCCTCTGTTTGCTGTGGTAGCTGTTCTTTAGCTCCTGTGCCACTGAATAGGTCTCCTAGTGACACAAGAGAGATGTAATTGAACTTTCAAACCCTCCTCAATTATTGCCTATTGGGTATTTAGACTATTCAGTAATAAATATAATAATGTTGCAATAGACATCTTCATGGATATAGCTTTACAATTCATTTAAACTATTTCCTGAGGATAGAGGCCTTTTATCTTGAGAGGAAAAGGCATGTGATTTTTTTTTTATGGATCAGTGACTGTAAAATTTTTTATACTACCAAATGATTTTATAAAAGTCTTATGCCAGTGTACTCTGCTGCAATAAATCAGCACATGCACCAGTTTTACTCCTTCATAGAGTTGGCTACCATAAGACAAGTCAACAGATACTACTTGAGGACATACTTTTGAAAATAAAATCTGGGCAAATACTGTTTTATTTGGTCAATATGCACCCAATAGCAAGCCTAATACTGGAGCGATAGCAATGACAGGCAAAATGAATCTGTCAGAAAGAGTCAAGGCGAGGTCTCAGAGGACCTGCCTGATCTGTGTAGGTGCTATCCAGTGAGGTGTCAGTCAACTTGCAGGGAAAGCAGCGGGTTTTACACAATGTGCTCTTACACAATGCTTGTGGGTGTCCTTGTTGTAACTGTGACATGCTGAAGATTCAACCGTAAATGAGACTTAGAGGATGGGAGCAGCAAGGAACTCCACCTTCTCTGGAAAGCCATTTTCTAGGTTCCTGTGACTCTCGCCTTTGGCAGATGCCTCACTATTTGGTAGAATGAGGTACCTCAGGCTCGTGGTGTCTGTTTTCTGCCTCAGCCTGGAACCAGCCACTTGGCCAGGTTTCTTTTCAAAGCAAGTAGCATCTTAAGATCACACTGTTGGTGCTGGAGAGACTCTTCAGTACCACTTATTATTTTCCAAGCTCTTCAGTAGACTCAGTTAACATTGTGCTTGTGGATGAGGGTTTTCAACAGCTTAGTAGTGATTTGTTACTTTAAAAAAAAATACACTTTGGGACCAGTAGATGGCATAATGGTTACATTGCTGAACTTGCACATAGTGGACCATGATTTGAGTCCTGGACCTAATGGCTTAAAACTCACACTGGGCACATTGAGTGTGTGCCCAAAATCCCAAGAAAAGAATGGAGGAGAAGGAATTGTGGCATTGCCCTCCCCCTGGGGGGTGATTTTTGGTTTCTGTATCTCTCTGTGAACACAGGCTCCCTATAGCAAAAATCTCTCTCTCTAAAAAGAAAAAATATATTCCACTGATATTTTAAGATCAAAGATCACAGAGCTGCACAGATGACTTTTTTTTAAAACTTAAAATAATTTAGAATACATCTTTTAAATTGGTTGCATTAAGAACATCATCTGACCTGTATGCAGTTTTTGACCAACACAGCAGAAATTTACTGATCATTTACTAGGTGCAGGCCTGGTGCTAAGACATTGGGATATTTGTTTATCTTAATACTTACAATACTTTCTAGCATTATTTTTCTTGAAGGTTGAAACTGAGACTTCAAGGTTTTCCTCTGTTTGCTGTGGTAGCTGTTCTTTAGCTCCTGTGCCACTGAATAGGTCTCCTAGTGACACAAGAGAGATGTAATTGAACTTTCAAACCCTCCTCAATTATTGCCTATTGGGTATTTAGACTATTCAGTAATAAATATAATAATGTTGCAATAGACATCTTCATGGATATAGCTTTACAATTCATTTAAACTATTTCCTGAGGATAGAGGCCTTTTATCTTGAGAGGAAAAGGCATGTGATTTTTTTTTTATGGATCAGTGACTGTAAAATTTTTTATACTACCAAATGATTTTATAAAAGTCTTATGCCAGTGTACTCTGCTGCAATAAATCAGCACATGCACCAGTTTTACTCCTTCATAGAGTTGGCTACCATAAGACAAGTCAACAGATACTACTTGAGGACATACTTTTGAAAATAAAATCTGGGCAAATACTGTTTTATTTGGTCAATATGCACCCAATAGCAAGCCTAATACTGGAGCGATAGCAATGACAGGCAAAATGAATCTGTCAGAAAGAGTCAAGGCGAGGTCTCAGAGGACCTGCCTGATCTGTGTAGGTGCTATCCAGTGAGGTGTCAGTCAACTTGCAGGGAAAGCAGCGGGTTTTACACAATGTGCTCTTACACAATGCTTGTGGGTGTCCTTGTTGTAACTGTGACATGCTGAAGATTCAACCTCATGTGTATAATGGTAAGAGATGTACCCAAATATGCTTCATTTGCAGGCTAATTATACTTTTTACTTTGTGGACAAGCTAAAAACGTTATCAGAGACTCTGCTGAAGATGGCCAGCCTTTTCCAGACAAACGGAAGTGGTCAGATGTTCCGCCAGCTGCAGGTGAGTAGTTACTGGGGGCTGGAGGCTACCAGTTTGGGATATCTGAGATGCCAGAGGCCCTTTAGATGATTCTACAGAGCTGCACAGTAAAACTGGCATAAAATTAGATTCTATGAAAATATTCTTTGAATTTTCAGTGTTTACCCATTCAAGATGGTATATGGTGAGAATGATAATTTACTAATATTTTTTCCTGTGCTTTAAATTCTACATTAAACTTAGTGCTCTTTAATGTGGTTTTATATTTTTCAATTGTGAGTCTATTACTGTGATCAACTATTCTTTTCTAATATGCTGCATTGACAAAGTAATATTTACAAAATAAGTGGGTCATAGTAAAATAACCCAATTTCCTCAGAAACTGACAGTCATTAGCTACAAAATGTTAATTCAGCTAAGTCACCTATTAGCTTTTTAGGCATGTGGGTATCTCTAATCAGCCTCAAACCTGACAGGATGAAATGCATTTTTATTCTTTGGTGTATTTATTATCCACCAGACAAGTAGTTCAGAACATGGATTCAGGAGCCAGATTGTCTAAGTTTGTTCCCAGCTCTGCTCTCCCACCAGCCGGGTGATTTTGGATTAGTCACTGAATTTCTCTGTGCTTTGGGTTTCTTACTTGAGAGGAAAGGCAATGGAAGTTAGTTATGAGGTGTGAATGATAAGTAAAGGATAAGTAAAGCACTCAATCCAGAGCAAATGCTACCCTGTGGGTCTGGGTTCTGCAAGAAGCAGATGCCAAGACAGAATTGTACGTGCAAACATTTTATTATGGAAACAGCTGTTAGAGCAAAAGAAATGGGAATAGGGAAAGGTGGGGCTAAGGTCATCAACAGTAATACAAGTTAGAGCCTGAGAATGAGAAACAGGAAGGAGGTTGTGTGCACTCATTTTTGTGGACCCCGTACTTTAATGAACATCAGATCATGCTGTGAGTAAGTTGCAGAGCTGTAAGTCAGTGTCAGCAGAGGATCCTGTGTCAAAGGGGTTCTGTGACTCTTGAGCATAGGCCTGTATGGTGGTCACTGGACCGGATCAGTGGTGGGAGGTATGGCCTCAGGACTAACTGAGGTGGGTCCAGAGTAAGCAGGGGCCCTGGCCCATTCTGGTTCTTGTAGCTGCCGATCTATGATGCTAAGTCTCATGATGGCTATAGAGAGTTAGAGTGATACTCTTCTTCACTTTGTTTGCTTATGGATGAACTTGTTAATACAGAGATCAGCAAAATTTCTGTAATGGGTCAGATAGTAAGTAGTTTAGGATTTGACAAGGGATCTTCTGCAACTTCAAATAATTACATCCAATATTATCAGTGCCAAGTTGAGAATATGCAAAGCAGCATCAGAATATAAAGAAGTACCAAATTCACCCAAGGAACTGGGCAGCTGTTTAGCTGAGTTCTGTTTACTAAGTAGTCGTGTCAGAAATTAAAGTTAGTATTTAATTACCTTGAGGAATTTTTCGTCTGCCATAGGATAAAATGTCCTAATGGTTACTCTATTTATTTTCTTTTTTCTTGTTTAAATTTTGCTGTAGGGCATTTGCCCCTACTAAAGACAGAGAGAAAAAGAGAAAGAGGACGAAAGGGAGAAGGTACCCTCTGGGGGGATGGTCATACTATAGTCCCTTTTCTTCCATTCTTTTCTTGGAATTTTGGCCACCCATGCATATGTGTCTGCTGTATTTTTCTAGCTGCTGGGTCCAGGACTTAAACCACACAGTTGGCTGGCTCATGGTTAGTCTATTTCTTAGCATTGGGATCATGTTCAGGGAGTCAGTAGTGCTTTGGGTTTGTAGTGGTCTATACCTGTGTTCCAGGCCTGGTTACTTCACTAGAAGAGGTTGTCAGTGCCTTTGGTGATGCCCTTAAGTTTGTTTTGCTTCCTTTCTCTGTTAGTAACAGTATCAGTGATTTTCTCATGGGGATGTTGTTGAGATTAAATGTTATTGTTCATAATGAATAAAGTACTCTGCACATTGTCTGGCAATGCCCAATAAAAGAATATGAGATTCCAGGGGGAAAAAAAAGCAAACACCAAGGTTTCATAATAAAGTCACTTTTGGGCAAGATTAGATAAAAGCATCGCATGTAATGAGGCAAATGTGCAAAATAATACATCTAAAACCAGAAAGTACACATAATTTGAGAATTCCTAATCTGAAGCTCTAAGTTAAAAGGGTATATGAGAAACAAAGTCTGGATAACATATAAATGTTCTGTAAGGAACTGGAAGATTGCAAAATGCATCCCCACTCCATCCTGGTGTGGAGCCTTAATGCGTTAGTACTTTCTCTCTGTTTCTTGTTGATTGTTAAAGTTGTATGTGACAGTACAAGGCAAGTAAAGGCATGCCAGCCACAAACTAAAGAAGCAAAATTTCATTACATTACTGAGAATACCTTTGGAGAACTCTCTATGGTAAAACCATTAATAAGTGAGGCAAAGTTGGAACCCTCAATAATGAGAAGAGTGGTACGGATGATGCAGTGAATGACACACCTGTTTTTTAGGTGGATCCAATTTATGTGTTTTTTATCTGTGTAATGAAACTTTGAATGTCTAAGAGGTAATATTCACTGGGAGGACACGATGCAATTATTTTTGTTAAGCTGTATTATTTTCTTTTAGGAAGCCCTGGGAAACAAATTTATAAGAAATTTTGTAGAAAGCCAGTTGCACGTTGATGTAGACCAACTTACTGGGAAACTTTGGACCTATGGTAAGTATTATGATCCATCTGTCCAAGTGGCAGATGGACTACAGTGTCACTGAATGACACTGACAGTCATTTTCCTTTCTCGGGTTTCTTTTCTTTTAATCTGTAACATAAAGAGCTTGAGCTAAATATGTTCCAAAGCTTATTCGTATCTGAAGTTTTCTGACTTTCTGATTTCAGAGCTTGATTAGTAAAAGGAGGTAGAGGAAGGCTTCTAGTTCAAATTCAAGAATTGTGCATTACAAAGAATATTTATAGACTAATATTATTGCATTAATAGTATATTGAAAGTAGTTGTATTGATTTGACAATGTAGAGCTGATATATTTTTTTAAAAAATCCACCAATCAGCAAAGATTAACCCTATTTCTACAATGAATGAATCTGTTTGGATGTTTAACAAACCTTTACTGAACACATAAGGAGAGCTAGGCCAGGATCCAGAGAGGGACGTGATGTTCCTGCCTACCACATAGTGTAGATGGGAAGGTGACCGTGATTAGGAATAGATCCTGCAGCAGGGTCATGCCATCTCAGGAGCTAACCCAGCTGAGGGGGACTGCAGCCAGGGAAGGAAGGCTGTCTGGTTGCTTCAGGGCCTTGACACCCTGGAACTTTGTGTCCAGGAAAAAAGCTCAAATCTGCCTGGAGCATGAAGGTTAGAGGGAGACAAAGCATTGCAATAGGTACAGTGCTTCTTTTATTTGAAAAAAAAAAATATGTGTGTGAATTTACTACTTTAGAAATATTAGTAATATTTTGAAATGTTAATGCTACTGCCTTACATAATTTTTTCAAGCAATTAAAATGCAGGCAAACATTCGGGAGTTCCCATCTTGTTTTGTTAGCGCAAAGGCTGACATAGGTCTGGGTAGAACCCAGGTGACCTGCTCATTTGCATATACAACAGTACAGGTGTTAATACATGTGTATTAGAGTGGAATGTGCTTGAGACACATTTAACACGCTGCTGACAGGAGTCCCCACTTGAGTAGATTTTCCTGTACGTTAACTCTGAGAAAATTAAGGAGGAAAATGCCTAGAAATGTACAGTTTTTTCTGTAAGTGTGTGGTGGCCCAGAATATGGGATTGGCATAGAATTCTGAGATCCAGGTGGTGTGATTCCTCCCTTCCTCTTGTCCACCTGAGGTTAGAGCCTGATGACCCCCTTGTCAGTGGTTGGGAATGAAGTTATTTCCCTGATTCTCTGCACAGCTCCCAGGAACAGGCACAGTGTGAAGACAGGTATTTTCCACAGCCTAAAATTTGGTCAGGATTGATCCCTGGCTAGATTCACACCTCCTTATGTAACACCCTCACTAGAGAATTAACTCAACTTGCCATATGTGTCCTTCGAAAATTTAAATCTAGGTGTTACATATATTTTATTCTTTCATCCTTTAATTATTGGGTCCTCAAAAGAGTCATAACACATTTTTGCATTGAAAAGCAGAGAAAAATATGTCATGACTTTTCTGACAGCCCGATAGTGTCTGCAGTGGGGTAAAAAATGACTATTTGAAGTTGTATCAATGCAGTTCCTGGGAATGGTTATCCAATCATGCTGTATTCTTTATTCATTATATAATTTTAAAAAATAATGTTTTACTTACCATAAAAACAATATATCTCTTTCTGTTGTTAGAAACATTAGAAAATATACATAAGCCTGAAAGAAATATCCAACCATAATATCACACCCAGCTATTGTGAAATCCTGTGGAGTTCTTTGCCATATGGGTTTATACACACTTACACAAGCATAGGTATATGTATTTCCACAAAAATGATAATATTGTCTATATTATTTTCTTAAATTGCCATAGAGTATGTGTGCTTGCCTGAGTGAGACAGTAGCTCCCCCATGGAGCGTGGCCACACTGCAATCTCTTCTCTTTTATTTCTCCATCCTGTCTGGATTTGGGGCACGTAAGTGTGCATGCCTAGCATATTTTTCAAGCCTTTGAGGTGGAGGTTGAACTGTGGTTGGCCATGTGGCCCTGTCCACTAGTCCCTAACCACTAAGCTATGGGACTGGCCCTGTCCATATCTTTTTATAACCTATTTGTAAAAAAAAAAAAAATTTACAGAGGTTCTTCATGTCCATAAATAGTGAATGTGTTACTAGGAAAGAGTCCTTAACCCAGCCCCCATTTGCTTCTTCATGCCCAGTGTGAATTAATCCACACTTATTTAACGATTTCTTCTGGATTGGTCATCATATTCTTAAATGATATGCCTATAAGAGTATTCCTTGATGTATTTGCAGGAATTGTCCATTGATTTTCTGTAGTGAATGATGCAGATTTAGTTCCGCACCACATGGTTTTCCTGCCTGGTTGCTCCCGCTATTGTTATAGGACCATTTCAGTTGTCGTAAAGCATTACCACTAGATAAACATGGTTCTGTGCAGAGCCAGGCTGTGCCCTGTAATGACATGGCCCTTATGTGGAACGTTGCTCTT